CCCGTGGACCTTTTACACCCTAGTCAGCAAGGCCAAGGATGCGGCTGAGAATGCCGGCGAAGGACAGCCATCAATGCGCAAAACGGCCGAGATGCTATGCAAAGAGGGTCAGCGCGCGTTGAATCGTCTTGAGCCGTGTGCAACAAGATCTCTAGCTAGTATGGGGTCACTTTCATGAGGGCTATAAAGACCAATGGTAATTCTAGAGCTACATGGACATTGCGGCTGTGAACTGACTAGAATTTGCAGAGGACATTAGCAGTTACAACATGGAGCTTACAGATATTCTCTGGAGCTTTGACGACTGCATCGCAATAGAGACCTTTGACGAAGAAAAGTACACGGAGCTTCAAGCTCGAAATGTCGCACCCGAGATTTACAACATTCTTGTGCGGAAGAATATTGAGCTTTTGTCAAAGATTTCAGACTCAGACTCGCCACTGCGCATCGTCCCGGAATCACCGCCCACATCGCCTCTGTATCCCATGTCGCCGTCTTCATATACTTGGCAGCTAAATAGGAAGACGAACCATGAGCCACTGGTATTGGGAAGTCCATCGTGGGTTAGTAGCTCGGTCAATCCTTTCCCCATGGGATCCCATACTAGCCACAGCCAGTCAGGCCGCATCACACACGCAAACACGGCGTACTCAAGCTCTACCACTGGCCTGGAATTCGCAGTGGGCAATCCGAGGCGTCAATCTTTCAGCAGTGGCCATTCTTCGGGGTCGTCCCCGAGTCCGTCAAGTCGCGGCAATCCAAGGCGGCCAACTCTACCGATTAGAGCGTCGGAGGAAACAAGTGTATATCCTGGGCAGCACTGGCCTCTGCCTCGGCGCCTACCGTCTCGCGAAGCATACGAATCCTATGCTCTATCAAGCCACCTGTCTTTTCTGAAAGCGTGTCAACTCAAGAAGCATCGCCGCCGACTCATACCCCGGCCAAACGCCAACCTCCATCCAAAGCTGTTCCGCCGACTCCAGTGGGTCGCTTGCCGTCCAGCAACTGTGTTATTGATGAGTCCAGTTCTATTCGTCGGTACAAAGGATTTCGCTCCGGTGCGAAAGAAGTTCTGAAGGGAAACAGCGGTGTGAACAAGCCCATGCAGAGGACGTTGTCGCGAGTAGTTGCGAAATGTACCGGTTGCGCCAGGGAATTGGACAACGAGCACACGGAAAATGATCAATCTAACAGAGGCAAGGAATAGTGGCTATATCCTCGTCAGGCCTAGGACGTCAAGCTAACGGACTTTTTTGCAGAAAGTGGTACTATGACCAGGCGCCATGTGCATTTTCGGCTCCGATTTCTGCAAAAGAGCCATCTTGCCGTGAAGAGGCCTGGTGACAGGCTGTACGGATGTATTTTCTGCGTTCAACGAGGCTACACTTTGGAGAGAGCGACGCGCCTGTTTTCTTCTCAGCGGACGACCTGTTGGCTCATCTCTCAAGACACGCGCGGCCCTTGCCCGTGATCCATGGCCTTGCCGTCGTGTATGGGACAGATGTCCCGTCACACCTGCTCAACAATTACGACTTGCATTTCAAAGTCCCCACGAAGCCAAATCCAGTACACAAAGAGAGCACGGAAATAAACGGCCGGCCGACTGGAGTAGCCATGAAGGCGGTGCGAAGAGACGAGGCCCAACGAAGCATTGCAGACCGTGACCGCTCTAAAGAGTTGCAAGTAGCGAGTGGAGTCAAGCTTACTAGGATCAAATGGCCGCCTCAATACAAAGGCCGGAAAGTGTTTGCCTGACACGATGGGAATTTCGCCTCGGTCCCGTCTGAGATTGTCATGTTGAATGCCCCTATATGCAGCAGCCTCAACAGGACCATGAGAACTGCAGTTAGCGCCAAGGCAAAGTGGAAGTTTTCTCTAAAGCATGGCAAGGCTGGATGGCTCAAGTTTGACAAGGGAGACACCATCACCAATATTGTCTGTGAGTACTTTTTGGGACACGATATCGTTAAATAGATGAAGCTGATATGAGGAATGGGGGAGCATCCCGACCCTTGGTGTTGGTGCGGCACGACGAGAAAGGGCCAATGGGGCATGTTACCACAGGCATTTCTCGATCCAAACACTGTGCAGGACGACGGCGGTGGATATTTCTCGCTAAACTGACAACCGGAGCGTGATATGTAGTCGTCATCTCCTCTCGACAAATAGTGACTTTGGGAGGCAGGCTTGCTACAGAAACACCCAGTGGTCGTCAGGGGCGAGGCGTGTCACTCCAGTTATGAATGCATTGGAAGTGCCATAAGCAAGAGTTGCTGTATTTTTGGAAACACGCAACCACGCAATATGTACATCTGAGCTTGAGCAGAAGTTTATCAGCGAATATCAGATGTAGTAAAAGACTTCAAGGCTTCTGTCGAGGGCCAGAGAGAGAGAGAGAGAGAGAGCCGAAATTTGCATACTTGTAAGCTAGATATAGGAGATATTTGGCCATGGGCCGCTACTGCTGGACCTTTTGCTCCATTGATTAGTGGTAAACCCGGTGACCACTCTGACACCGTTCCACGGTCAAAGTCCAACAAAGGCAACGCCCAGTAAAGGGGCATCGCCGATACAGGACCCGGAGGTTACAGACTGAAAACATGACCCGCTGGGAGCCTTAAGCACAGCTGTTCCTTTCATGTATATATAGTGGTCACTGATCCCTCCCTTCCTCTTGCAAAGCCAAGGACCTTTGACACCCTACTAGATTATCGTTAAATAGAGTCAGTTCACTCTCCAAGCCCTTGATATCAAGCCCTTGTCACAGACAACACCACAGGTTAACGGAAGGCTGTATTCAGTAACGCTTACCATGGAAATATGTTGCGTGAAAACACTTGGAGCATCACGACATGCGAAACTAGCTTTTTTGTTGACTGCCCTTTGGAGCATCGTGACATCTTCCGGCGATTCTTTGCTTTCCAAATAAGTGAAGATAGGATTTGTGATTCGTATTTCTGAGGCTGGTTCTATATGCAGGTGCTTTAGTTGTTGTTGAGCTGCTTCAGGGAAAGTTTTTTGAGGACGAGGACTGGGCGGGAGAAGGCATCTCACGGACAGATGCTAGAAGAAACATGAGGTCAATGGCTCGGATCTTGCAGTCTGTGATATGCTTTGTACTCAAGTCTTGTCTGAAATCACTTGGGATGGCTTGCAACTGTGTTTGCTCCTCTAGCCGGCAACATTATTACTAGATTCGTATTGCTAACTTGACTCCATGGTGTAAACGAGCTGGGGAAAATTAGAAACCATGGTTGCGAAAGCTAGTTGAGCCGAGACGTGCACAATCGCGGGCATTTTGCGTGTACGAGAGTCTTGGTGCCTAGTCTTGTTAGCATAACTTGGCAATATTGCCGAGAAATCTTTGACTGTTATCGTGACAGGGCAAACTTTCAAATTCGCAGAGTGCGTGAAGCTGCTAATAACTATGAGAGAATGACACAAAGGGTCTGCCCAGGGCTGCACAAAGTGTGGCACCTTCAAACGGTCATCAATTGCGCACATATATTGCACTGATTAGCGAGAGACAGCCTAGCTACGTACTCACTGTGTGTGCAACTGGAATGGAAATACATCTTTAACCACCTACCTTGACATGAATAAATAGAACAACATCCTGTTCGTTAGAATGTATGCAGAACTTTATGGTATACACAAAGAGGATCTAAAGTCAAGCACAACAGAGCACCACCGTCCATTTACATCGACAATGGCAATGCAAACGATGCCAACGCAAATCGGCTTATCCGAGATGGACATGAGCCAATCTTTGCCAAAGTGGGCTGACATGACCGAACCTCGCACCACACCCCTCGGATCGTGACCTCCGAGACCTCTGAGACCTCCGGCACCCGCCAAGTGGAGACGGCCGAACTCTCCGTGGGCTCCGAAAGCTGGGACAGTTTGGAAATAAGGATGAGTAAAAAGCACCAAAAAAAAAAAAAAAAAAAAATAT